AGTGCTGGGATTACAGGCTTGAGCCACCGCGCCCGGCCGATACTTAAATTTTTAAAAGAACTACTTTCATGGCACAAAAACAGCAGCCAGTGCTAACAACTTACTCTGTGCCAGGTACTATTCTAAGCCTTTTATATTTGTTGACCCATTTTATCCTCACAATTGTCTTCTAAAGTGAGCATTAGCATTTTACAGTATTACAGTTGACGAAATGGCTACGGAGGTTAAGTAACTTGTCCAAATAACTTGCCAGATTTGAACCCAAGCAGTTTGTGCCAGAATCTGTGCTTCACTACTATACTATATGGAGGCAGACTCAATAATCATGTTTTTTGGATTTGTGCCTTTCTGTATATGTTTAAGAAAAACCTTCTTTATTTTCCAACGCCGCCTTTGAAAGGTTTTTAAATTTTGCCTTTTTCATTTGAGATTTAATTGTCTACCTGGAATGAGTTAGAAATCTAATTTTATGGCCAGGCCCAGTGGCTCACACCTGTAATCCCAGCATTTTGGGAGGCTAACTAAGGCCAGTGTATCAACTGGGGTCAGGAGTTCGAGACCAGCCTGGCAAACATGGTGAAACCCCATCTCTACTAAAAATACAAGAAAACTAGCTGGGCATGATGGCAGGTGCCTATAATCCCAGCCACTCAGGAGGCTGAGGCAGGAGAATCCTTTGAACCCTGGAGGCGGAGGTTGCAGTAAGCTAAGATTACACCATTGCACTCCAGCCTGGGCAACAAGAATGAAACTCTATGGCCGGGCGCGGTGGCTCAAGCCTGTAATCCCAGCACTTTGGGAGGCCGAGGCGGGTGGATCACGAGGTCAAGAGATCGAGACCATCCTGGTCAACATGGTGAAACCCCATCTCTATTAAAAATACAAAAAATTAGCTGGGCATGGTGGTGCGTGCCTGTAATCCCAGCTATTCAGGAGGCTGAGGCAGGAGAATTGCCTGAACCCAGGAGGCGGAGGTTGCGGTGAGCCGAGATCGCGCCATTGCACTCCAGCCTGGGTAACATGAGTGAAACTCCATCTCAAAAAAAAAAAAAGAATGAAACTCTGTCTCAAATAAAAGATAATCTAATTTTATATTGTTATATATGGACAGCCTAATATGCCAGCAAAGGCTGTTGAAAAAGGGAATCACTTTTCAGTTGATGCCTTCATAACTCACAGCTAAATGCTAAGTATTTATGCCTAGAGCATGGACTTCAAAGGACTTTGTTCCTAACTCAGGATATATCAAGACTGTTCTCCTCCCTTGTCCTGTGATTCTGTAGTCCAGTGTAGCTTTCTCTTTCTTTCCTCCTTTACTCTCCCTCTCTGCCACCTCACTCTTCTTTGTCCTCTCCTTTGGTCTTTTCCTCTCTCCTCCCCTCTCTGCATCTTCTTCGTCTCTTCCCCTCCCCTTATTTCTCCTTTAAAAAAATTTGTTTCTGCAAGAATTGGGAGGAGTTGAGTAAACCAGTGATTCATGGTTTCAGGTGTTAAACTACCTTACTGCTGAAGTTGTGGGTTAGTTTTCTTTAGAAGCTGAAGACCTTGGGTTCTATCAGCTGTACTCTTGCAGGCATGTTGATGATTCTGAGCAGGAGCCAGACACACTGTGGCTCCAAATAGCCCAGGTGGGTCAGAAGTCAGATTAAAGACAGCCTACTTTATTTCTTAAGTTACTGTGTAAGGAAACAACATCACATCTAAAATGTGACCACTTGTAAATATGGGGATATGTTCTGAGGAATGCAGTTAGAGAGTTTTATTAATGTGCAAACATCACTGAATGTGCTTACACAAACCTATATGGTATAGCCTACTCCACACCTAGGCTATGTGGTATAGCCTATTGCTTCTAGGCTACAAACCTGTACAGCAGGTTACTGTACTGAATACTGTTGGCAGTGTACCACAGTGGGATTTGTGTATCTAAACATAGCTAAACAAAGAAAAGATATAGTAAAAATTGGTATTATAGTCTTATGGAACCACTGTTGTATATGCAGTCCATCATTGACTGAAATGTCATTATGCAACATGTGACTATATGTTGAAAATTTAGTGTAGAGTTTCCTTTTTTTCATTTTAGAGATATAATCAAATAGGATCATGGCTAATAGCTCACTGCAACCTCTGCCTCCCAGGCTCAAGCTATCCTCTCACCTCAGCCTCCTGAGCAGCTGGGACTTCAGACACATGCCACCATGCCCAGCTAATTTTTAAATTTTTTTGTAGAGATGGGGTTTCACCATGTTGCCCAGGCTGGTCTCAAGCTCCTGGGCTCAAGCAAACCTTGGCCTCCCAAAGTGCTGAGATTACAGGCACGAGCCACTGTGCCTGGCCATAGCTACACTTCTTTAGTCAACAGATTGCATGTAAGTTAATATTCATATTAATATCAGAGAACCTAAGAAAGAGAACTAGAGCATGCTGAAGCTTTTAGAGTCTTGGATCTAGTGACATTCTTATATTTGCTTTCCTTTATATTGTGGTAGATTTTGAGCTTAATTATTAAACGTAAATACTCATCAAGGTCAAGAATCTGAAATCTCATTCAGAAAGAAAATGCAACAATTAGAACCTTGTACAACCTAGAAGACATTGGGCACTGAATAAAGCGGATTTTCAGGATCTCTCGTTGCAACTCTTGGGACCTTGGTTATCTGGAACTCTGGCTGTTCCTCCCTTCTGCAGTCTCTGGCCATTTTACTGCTTGTTAGCATGTACCAAAAGATGAATTGGGCAGAAGGAAGAAGTGACACAAAACAGTTATTGTGCTGGTCTCTAACTATTCCGGATATTCTCTTTTATTAACTAGTGGAGCGTAATGTTATTTTGTCATTAATTTCAGTATTAAGTTCCCTTTTGATTTTATTTAAATGCACAGTATTTCTCATTTGTTCATCTAGAAAGAAAGTATTGTTTGTATTCACATCAATGGTAATGTATTGAATTCAGTAATGAGCTAAATGTGTTTCATGGCTCAGACATCAGCATAGCTCCTGCTCACATGGCAAACTGAGGTAATACATCCCAGATGAAGAAAAGATAGAAGATGTTATCTCTAGGTTAATTATTGGCATTTCATAAATATTGAAATATATTTGAGTGATAAATATCAAAACAAAGTTGGTGCATTATTGTCATGAAAATATGAGGAAGGAGGTAACCTTGTATATGGTTCTTTCTGCTACCTGGTACAGATTAAGATGGGAACCAAGAAAAGGGGTATGATCTTAGTCTACAGGATGGTAATTTGACACTTATACTGGGGAGTTTTATTACCCTAAGAAGGTTATTTTATTACTCAATATTCATTACTCTGTTGCAGTTTTTTTTTTTTTTTTTTTTTCCTTTTAGAGACAGGGTCTCGCTCTGTCACTCAGGCTGGAGTACAGTGGTGCAGTCATAGCTCACTGCAGCCTGGAACTACTGGGCTCGAGTGATCCTCCCACCTCACTTCCCTAGTAGCTAGGACTACAGGCGGGTGCCACCATACCTGTCTAATTTAAAAAAAAAAAAAAATGTGTAGAGAGTGGGGGTCTCACTGTGTTGCCTGGGGTGGTCTTGAACTCTTGGCCTCAAGTGATCCTTCTCCTTTGGCCTCCCAAAGCACTGGGATTATAGACGTGAGCCACTGTGCCTGGCCAAGAACAGTTTTTTCTAGAGCCTTCTTCTTTGGGCCCTACTCAAATTCACCACCACAAACCACACCCATGGATGACGTCCTAAAGGATTTTTTTTCTCCTGAATTTGGGAAACTTGACCTCCCCAGATTTAGCTAACTGTGTTGAATAGTGAACATTTATGCTTTTAAATCTGACTGTCTTGTCTTTTTCTTCAACTCCTTTGAATTGTTCTCACCCACACGAAAGGAAAAGTATATGTGCTTTGGAGTCCCTTGCTTAACAAAAGCCTTTTACTGGATAAAAGTCACAAAATTTGGGCTCCAAAAGATCTGACCTTTGTCCCTGACTTATTTATTTAGCTCTTACTGTTCCTGTCCCTGAGTTTTCAAGTTTTCTTGCCCAACATTATCACCTTTTATTTGGTAATATTCACCTCTGCCACTTTCAGCAGTACATTCCCATCTTGCCTACAACCATCTCTAGCTACCAATTAAGTGTCCTTAGAATATAGAGAATGATCCATTACCTTTGACGTGATTTAGATAAAAAACATTGTAATAAAAATTGCATTTTTTTTTTCGAGACGAAGTCTTGCTCTGTCGCCAGGCTGGAGCGCAGTGGTGCAATCTCAGCTCACTGCAACTTCCGCCTCCTGGGTTCAAGCTATTCTTCTGGCTCAGCCTCCCTAGTAGCTGGGACTACAGGCACGTGCCACTACACTTGGCTAATTTTTTTTTTTTTTTAATAGAGACGGGGTTTCACTGTGTTGGCCAGAATGGTCTCGATCTCTCTACTTTGTGATCCGCCTGCCTCGGCCTCCCAAAGGGCTGGGATTACAGGCATGAGCCACTGTGCCCCACCTCTGAAAATTGCATTTTTTAATCTAGCCAGTAGCATACCTATTCTGTCGGCATTTTTAGGTGACCATAATCTATAAGCGTGGATTAGAATTACAGTGATGTCTGAACACAAAAAGGGTTTTCATATAACTGGAATGCAAATGCAACTTGTTTTACGTAGATGTTCTTCTGAATAGAAATTATATGTAAAGAAAGTGAATTAATTCATACTTGAAGCTCACTAAGGGAGTTTTATTGTGTGAAGAAACACTGAAAAATCCTCTAGGAAAGGAAGACTCCACAGCTTATATCTTGTGCAGATCTTTTTTCATATATCTGTTTTGCTTAACGTATACTTGTATAAGGACAGTATATAAGAGAGAGACAGGGCTTGCATAGGACAAGGGGGAATTACGGGGCAGTTAACTATTGAGATTTGAAAGTAGATACGTTTCCAGTACATTGTGGCCCGTTGATTTTGGAGACCTAGTCCTCTTGGGCTTCTTCTAACATCTACCTCTTGTTTATACGATAGATCGAGCGGTTGGAAGTAAGCAGCCTTGCCCAAACATCCAGTGCAGTGGCCTCCAGTACTGATGGCAGCATCCACACAGACTCCGTGGATGGAACACCAGACCCTCAGCGCACAAAGGCTGCCATTGCTCACCTGCAGCAGAAGATCCTGAAGCTCACAGAACAAATCAAGATTGCACAAACAGCCCGGGACGACAACGTTGCTGAATACTTGAAGCTTGCCAACAGCGCAGACAAACAGCAGGCTGCCCGCATTAAGCAGGTCTTTGAGAAGAAGAACCAGAAATCTGCCCAAACTATCCTCCAGCTGCAAAAGAAACTTGAGCACTACCACAGGAAGCTCAGAGAAGTGGAGCAGAATGGGATCCCCCGGCAGCCGAAGGATGTCTTCAGGGACATGCACCAGGGTCTGAAGGATGTGGGAGCAAAGGTGACTGGCTTCAGTGAAGGTGTGGTGGATAGTGTCAAAGGTGGGTTTTCCAGCTTCTCCCAGGCCACCCATTCAGCAGCAGGCGCTGTAGTCTCAAAGCCCAGAGAGATTGCCTCACTCATTCGGAACAAATTTGGCAGTGCAGACAACATCCCCAACCTGAAGGACTCTTTAGAGGAAGGGCAAGTGGATGAGGCAGGGAAGACTTTGGGAGTGATTTCAAACTTTCAGTCGAGCCCAAAATATGGTAGTGAAGAAGATTGTTCTAGTGCCACTTCAGGCTCAGTGGGAGCCAACAGCACCACAGGGGGCATCGTTGTAGGAGCATCTAGCTCCAAAACAAACACCCTGGACATGCAAAGCTCAGGATTTGATGCACTACTACATGAGATCCAGGAGATACGGGAAACCCAGGCCAGACTGGAGGAATCCTTTGAGACTCTCAAGGAACATTATCAGAGGGACTATTCCTTAATAATGCAGACCCTACAGGAGGAGCGATATAGGTAAGCCACGTGGAATTAATATCTGAAGTTGTTTGTGTAGGTTTCCCCTTCCTTTAGATACGGGGAAATGGCTTTAGAAAGCCTTTGTTGGGCCAGACGCAGTGGCTTATGCCTATAATCCCACCACTTTGGGAAGCTGAGGTGGGCAGATCATGAGGTCAGAAGATCAAGACCATCCTGATTAACATGGTGAAACCCCATCTCTACTAAAAATACAAAAAAAATTGCCAGCCATGGTGACATGTGCCTGTAGTCCCAGCTACTCAGGAGGCTGAGGCAGGAGAATCACTTGAACCCAGGAGGCTGAGGTTGCAGTGAGCTGAGATCATGCCACTGCACTCCAGCTTGGAAAACAGAGTGAGACTCCATCCCAAAAAAAAACAACAACAAAAAAGTCTTTGTCTTTCTCTAGCGTGTCCAGAGCACTTTCACTATGTCTTAAGACAGCCACATGAGTTCCTGATGAAGCATTGTTACAACTTTCCAGTCTTCCATGCCAGTTTAGAACTTTAAAATGAAGTCCAAGCTTTCTAAAGTATTCTACCTGTGTATTTATAATTACAAAACTACACAATCATTGCAGTATGTAACTGTACTAAATTGAATTCAGAAGACCTATAATTCTTAGAGCTGTGTAGATACAAAGATATCACCCAGGCAAAATGTAGTGACTTTTATAGATATTTGGCCTTAAATACACTTATCTGGGCAATTGGTATAGAAATATTAGACTGGAAATAAAACCAAGTCAGAATGTTTGTTACCTTTATTATGAATTGACAAATGTTTGAATGAGATTGGACTTAAACATGAAATGTTTCTACAGGAGTTGGAAAGTTGGAAAGCCTCAAAAGGCTAAGTGCTTTGAATCATAGTCTGTTAAAGGTAGAAGCTGATCTCTTGGGTGTGTTTCATATTACACTACATATTCATATTAGACCATTCTTGGCTGTAGTCCAAATATGTGTCCTTTCTGTTTCCTTCACATGCAGTGAAGAAAAATATTATCTGTGGATAGATCCAAACTTTGTTAGCCAGAGACAGGCCACCTAATGATGCAAATTGAGGACTAGTCTTACGGGAGCTACAGGTCAAGTTAGGCTTTGAAGGACCTAGGTTCTAGCCGTGTCCCAATTTTTTTTTTTTTAATATAAATTTAAAATTTTCTTTTGGCTCTGAGTACAGACCCAATTATTAACTAGAGGAAATCCTTAGTACTTCTACTGTAATATCAGGAGTTGAACAGATAATCTCTTAATATCCCTTTCACCTTTTAAAAAGTGTTTTTAGAAATTTGCTTTTATAAGGTATTTAGGGTCTGAAACAAATTGTTCACATGTATAAATTAGCTCTAAGAAGAGTTACAACAGCAAGTTTTTTTCAGAGGGTGAAAACACTAATTAGTAATTCAGCCTGCCTCTTTTCCTACTCTTCTGTTCTTTAATTCTAACTTAAGACTTCAAGGGAGAAGGAAAGAGAAGTGGTTGTGGGAAGGAGAATTAAAGTTCTAAAAACAAATACTGTACATTACTATTTTTATTTCAATGTTTTATAAATTCTTTAGTATACTGAGAAGACAATGTCTTATTCAATAAGTGATATAACAGACATTCAAATGGACTCTAAAAATAAAACAGCTGGTTGTTTGTACCATATTAAATCCAACTCCCAAGTTCAAATTCCAGTTTTTCCACTTACTAACCTTGAAAACCTGGGCAAGTTTCTTCAATTCTCTAAGTCTTGGTTTCCTTATCCCTAACATAGAAATAATAATAGTTCTTTATAAGATTATTGTGACATTTAAGTGAAATTATTTGGGTAAAGCACATAGCTCATCCATAGTGCTCTATGGATGTTAAGGGAGCAGCTGCTGTTAACCCAACTTAGAACATGAAGACATTCCACAGTCAGTTAAAACAAATTTTAAAACCACAAAAAAAAACTGCCTACTTTGACTACTGTATTTTGTTTTTGTTTTGGACTGGCTTTGTTTTGTTTTTGGTGCCCATGTTGGAATGCAGTGGCGTGATCTTGGCTCACTATAGCCTCCACCTCCTGGGCTCAAGTGATCCTCGAATCTCAACCTCCTGAGTAGCTGGGACTACAGGTGTGCACCACCACACCTGGCTCATTTTTTAATTTTTTTTTTTTTTTTTTTTTTTTTTTTTGTAGAAACAGGGTCTCATTATGTTCCCCAGACTGGTCTTGAACTCCTGGGCTCCAGCAATCTGCCCTTCTTGGCCTCCCCAAGTGCTGGGATTACAGGTGTGAGCCACCATGCCCCTGCCAACTCCTCTATTTTGAATGGATACCTTGCAGTTTTTAAACTGCCTCAGAGCTTAAAATTCATGTAGAGCTTGTTAGGTCTTCACGTCAAGATGTAGAAAGTCAAGATATGAGAAAATCAAAAACAGGTCTCTCAAGCCACCTTTGAATCCCTTTAGTGTAAGTCAGAGACAGAATAGAATATTAGCTGCTCATTAACACTTCATTAGAAGAATCAAGTTCAAGCCACTTAGGAGGTAATGAGCAGTGCGTTTGTTTCATTGCACATTGGGTTCTTTCTAGTAGGTAAATGACTAGTTTTATGGAATGAAAACAGAATAAAGAAAACTTGAATTTTCAAGAAGAGAGGTAAAACCAGGTGGATAAGGAGAAGACATAATATGTAATCTGACTTGTTTTGTTTTCCCACTTATGCTTTAGAATGATTTTTTCCTTAAAACATAATCTTGACAAAAGAAAGCCTTTTTTCCCCCCTAAGAAAGGGAGTGGAAATGTCACAACTATTTTACTTTATTTTTGTTGTTCCAGTAATTCCCTGTATAATGCAGATAGAGATTTCCCCTCCATTATATATGGCTTTACACAGTAAATATATTCATCTAATTTTGCTGATCTTTAAATGCTTTCACAGAAATAAAATTTTTTCTTTTCTTTTTTTCTGAGATGGAGTCTCGCTCTGTAGCCCAGACTGGAGTGCAGTGGCGTGATCTCGACTCACTGCAACCTCTGCCTCCCAAGTCCCAGTTCAAGCAATTCTCCTACCTCAGCCTCCCAAGTGCTGGGATTACAGGCACGAGCCACCATGCCCAGCTAATTAAAATTTTTCTACAAATTGAAGTCTTTTTTTTTTTTTTTTTTTTTTTTTTTTTTTTTTTTTAAAGCGTCAAGGTCTTGCTATATTGCCCTGCTGGTCTTGAGCTCCTGGCTCAAGCAGTGCTTCGACTTCTGCCTCCTGAGTAGCTGGGACTGCAGACGCATGCCACCACGCCTGGCTTTGAAATCTATTTTTTGTTGTTGTTTTTTGAGATTCTTATTGCCCAGGCTGGAATACAGTGGCGCAGTCTCAGCTCACTGCAACCTCTGCCTCCCGGGTTCAAGTGATTCTCCTGCCTTAGCCTCCTGAGTAGCTGGGATTACAGGTGTCCCATGCCCAGGTAATTTTTTGTATTTTTAGTAGACACAGGGTTTCACTGTGTTGACCAGTATGGTCTCAAACTCCTGACCTCAGGTGATCCACCGGCCTCGGCCACCCAGAGTGCTGGGATTACAGACATGAGCAATCACGCCTGGCCAGAAACCTATTTTAAGCACTGATACTTTTCACATTTTAAACATTTTTGGGAAATTTCTCTGCCTTCTTTTACAAAGTACACTGAACCTAACTTAATGGAAAAAGCTTAGATATGGTAGTATTCTAGCTTAGAGTGATACTCTCAGGTTAGTGAAACTACATTTATGTGCCTCTACAGTAAATGGTCCTAGGCTTTTTTTAGTTCATCTGCTTTTTTTATAATTTTTTTTCTCCTTTCCATTTCTTCTCTACACTGTGAGTGAGCTGCCTGCAGCAGCCTCTCTTTACTAATTCTACTTCTACTCTGTTGTAGGCTTTGCTTTGTGTGTAGGAAGAAAGTAGGCTGTGGATGGAGATTCTTCTGTGACCAAGAACCAGTTAATTCATGCATGGCTGCTCTAGATACATTTTTTTTTTCTATGCTTTAGTTTATTTTACTAGTATCTGAGTTGATGAGAGGGAGGCCATGCACAGTGTTGCTGCTTTATTTGATGATGTTGGTGACAAGGCCACTACCACTAACAGTATTAGCTTAAACTCCTATGAAGTGCCTAGTGCTAGATGCTTTAGGTATATTTGCCAACCCTCACAATAGCCCTACAGGTAAATTGTATTATTCCCATTTTAAAGATGAGGAAATTAAGGCTCAGTGGGGTTTTAAAATTTGCCAAAGGTCACTCAGTAAGTGGTAGAGCCAAGATTCAAAACCCAGTTTTATCTGACTTCAAATTCAGTGTTGTTTTCATACCAGGATATTTTCAAAGCTCAGTCCTGAAATCTATATGGTTTAAAGTCTAGCTCTCTGAAGCATTAGATGCATTGGCAATGGGTATTAGTATCCCAAGTTGAAGTAAATGTTTTCTGTAAGTTGAGTCACTGTTTTTAACATATTATATAAAAATTCTATGAATATGCAAGCTCTGGAAAGTTTCCTAGGCCAGTACAACAGTGTAGTTAAATAGGTGAAACCTTCCTAAGGAAATCCTTACTCCAGTTAATATTTCCCCTTCTCAGAGTCCCTTCTCAATAATGTCCTTCACTTAATGTATTTCCACTGCTGTCTACCTGAGTGAGTAGCTCCAGGTGAAGATAGTTGCCCAAGACTGTCTCCTTAACTCTGGAATAATCAGAAACATTTCAAAGCCTATAGAGTACAGTCTCTCTCTCTTTGTCCACATAATTGTGCCGTGACTGACACAGTATTTTTTCAGTACCCACATGCACTTACCCTAGGAAGCCATTGTGGCAGAGCTTGGATCTGAACTCCACCTCAACCTTTGACTAGTGACTAGGTATTGAATTTTACCATTGTGCTTTCAGCTGTGAGTGAGATCGTGTACTTGGCAAAGGCAGAAGACAAAGTTTAGAAATTGTTTTAAGTAATGAGACCTGTGCTGACTTCAGATTCTTGTCCAGTTTCTTC